GTGGCTCAGTGCTTAAATGGTTAAGCGCCCTTAGGTTCGATCCTTGGTATAAATTAAAAAAAAAAAAAAAAAAATATATATATATATATATATATAGATCTTATATATAATACATATTATATACCTTATATATATAGTATTGTATTATTTGAAAGCAATGCCATTGGCTTTTATGGATTGATGGCTAGTTTCCATTGTTGTTGTTGATAGCAATGATGATAACAACAGCTAACGTGTGTTACATACATTGTGTTACACACAGACACTGTATTACACACTATAATCTCCTTTTTGTTTACCTTCTCATTTAAGTTGTTCACTTACTTTACAGAGCAAGTACAGTTATCTTTGTTTTACAGATGAGGAGGAGGTCAAGGTACAAGAGGTGAAAGAACTCTGCATGCCTGCCCCCTTACCCTGTGTGTGTCCATTTGGCTCTAAACTCTGCATTGCATTTTGGGCTTGAGCTCAGATAGTCACATTTGGGTAATATCAGAGTGGGACAGATTAACAAACACCCTTCTTATAAAACAAAATTCAACCCATTGCAAAAAAAAAAATATGTTTTGCTTTGTTTTAATTGAAGTTTTGGCATTTATGTACCTTTCAAGCTGAACAATCAAAAGTGTTTCAGAGCTGTGTACCATTTGATGTTTGAAGCATCTAAGCATCCCTGCTGCTCTGAAGGAGTTAGTGGTCATCATTTATGTTTGGTGCTTGTGACTGAAAAGGTCATCGGACAGAAACAATAGCAGTGAGAAATGCACACACAAGGATGGTTTGGATAGCAGCGTCCCATCATTCATCAGCTTTTTACAACAGCATTGGCCTTTGTCAACATTTCCTAAAGGAAAAATCACAAGGCAGCAAAAACAAAAGACCCACAAATGAACACAACTGGAAATAGTTTAAGACTCCTTGAAGACTTGAGAGGCTGTATTTTGGTGGGTTTTTTTTTTTTTTTTTTTTGCTTTAAAAGACAGTCTCTGAGTCCCGTGTTCCCTAGAGAATTCTGCCTGCGATTGTTTCTTTTTCACATCTGCTGCTCTGATTTTTCTCCACCTTTCCTAGAGTGGAGAATTTCCTCATTCCTTAAGTGTCTCTCTGAATTTTCAATATCAACCCACCAAACAAACTCGGAGATTACATATCAGCATGAAATTTTGTTTTGTGTTAAGGTGTTTCATTAGCTGCGAAGTAGCAGAACTGAAGAGGTTTCACTGTTTCCATTTTGGACTCACAGGAGAGAATGCAAATGGTCAACATCTATTATGCTCAGTGTTGAATAACTATCTTTACTTCACATTCTCAGGCAAACTGTTCAGATTATACCGAGGCTCTTTTGGTCAAGATCTTTCTTAGTCCAAAGTTGATTATATCCCTTATCACTAACTTGTGACATGACATATATTAAAGCCCCATACAATTTAGTAGTAGTCTATGTTCTTTTGCCATAATATTCATTGGTTTAATAAAAACATGCTTAGGCAGAGAACACCCATTAGAGAGTTCTATCATGCACAGTCTCCCTTCAGTGTGTTTGGAACGTGGATAATATGTTCCCTTTTTCTCCATTTTTCTTTTTCTTTATCTTTCTTTAATTGACAGTGCTTGTCCTTTAAATGTTTTTCTACATTGTAAATTTTGGGCTGCTCTTCAAAGTTTTCTTTCCTAAAACGAAATTTTGAAATTTATTAATTTTTTTCTTAGTTTTGAAACCCTCATTTTGTGAGAATTTGATGTAGTATGTCTTGTGGCTGCTACAGGTTATTCAGTTTATTGCTATAAAATAAGACATCCCTGTAGCTCTGAAGACACTTTAAAGTTTTTTTTTTCCTTTCTACAAAAGTCTTTATAGAGTTGGTTATGACCTTGAACTAAAAGCATGTAGTAGAAAAACTGGGGTGGGAAACACAGTTCTTCATCTGCTCTGGATCTGCCACGGAAAAGGTGCATTACTGTCCCAAGTGAAGGGCACCTTCTTGCCCGCTCTCCTTGCTGTGCTAGGAAAATCCTTGTCTCAGAATGCCTTGCCACAGAGCCCTCCACTACCCTGACTCTGATAGGAAGGAAGCCTGTCTACATTGATGTTGGAGGAAGTCTAGGTTAATTTCTAGTAGAAACCAGTGGGTTTTCATTCTGAATTACTTGAAATCAGCTCTCTCTGTGACAACACTGTTTGGCAGTTTGGCAGTTTTTCATATTTCCTTTAAATTTTAATTATAACCCATCAAGTCTTAAGCAATTACTTCTGGGTTAGACTCTTGATGAATGTCATAGCAGGGTGTTTTAATTTAATGGATCCAGAAAAACATCTGTTTCTAATATTTTAGAAGGCAATTTATATGGAAATTCATCTAATACACAGTCAATACACGGAGATTTGAAAAATCAAAATCAAAATGGAAAATCAATCCTCTGTGATGTAGTCAGTCTTCTGTTAACAAAGGATTTCACTTATGACTAGGATCACCTGCTTCTAGTTAACACTCAAAATATTGCAGTTTTAAAAAGATGGCAATTTATTTCTTATACCCAGGTAATTGGCAGGTTCTTAGTCTGTGGCTGGTATTGTCTACTTTGACAGGGACTTGGTTTCCTTTCTTTTTTACTGTTCTGCTCTGCTGTGTATGATTTCTATCTGTAAGGACACTTTATGGGCCAAGATGGCTGCTGAAACTCAATTTACACATGTGCTCTACATAGCAAGAATGAGCTAGGGGGAAAGGAGAAGAAGGTTAAGGTTTTGCTTTTAAGGACAGTTTCTTGAAGTAGTAGCCCAAAGTCACATGACCACTTTTAGCATCAAAGGAAGTATACCAGATGACCATGTGCCCAGGTATAATCTGAAATTCTATTAATAAGGAAAAAAAAAAAGACTAGATATTGAGAAATAGTGAACTAAACCTCATAATATAATTTTCAGGACTTGTTTTTAACAGATCTTCTGCTTTATCACTGAACATGTAGAGAAGTCAATTGTTCTTCAAAGTAAATAATATATGTAAAAGGACCCATATGGCATTTGGCACAAAGTAAATAACAATCAGTGGTTTTTAAAATTATAACCCCCGAATGTACTTAATTTATAAGTTATGGGCCAAATGGATTTTAATAAGGGACATTTTATAGATTGTGCCTTGTATATTATTGTATCGTATTAACAGCAGGCCATAGGGCATAGATGTCATCTGCCCTAGGGTCTCCAAAATACAAACAATGTTCTCTGTTCCTCTGCATCAAGGATAGATGAAAGGTTACAAGTGCTAAAGTGATTTCAAGGTAAAACTGGTATCACAGAAACTGAAGCTCAGAGAGGTTAATTGAGAAGCAAGTTAGAGATGCAGTTGCAAACAACCATTGGCCCAGTCATTTCATCCCAACAGGAATATAACTCCACTTCCACTGGCTATGTTACTTTGGATGGTATGTGTTTCTTAATCTGTTTGGATCTTTGTTGTGTTTCCTTGCTTTCTGAAGTTGGGCAGTAAATTATGGAGCTGGGATTTAGGAATATATCCTCTCAAATCCAGGGCTTTTCCAGCCTGAACTTTGCTCAGATTCAGATGAAAGTTCCTTTGATCACACCTGCCTCATAACAAGTGACGGACCTGGTGAAGGAGCTAGAGGTGATTGTCCTAGAGGAGGCAGTTTGCAAGTTCTCCTTTTATAGCCCCACCGCCTTCGAGCTCACATGCCTCTTTTGTGTTCTGTAGGAGGAGAGAAGTGCTCCCAGTGCCAGCTGTTCACTGGGAACTGTAATGGCATAGGGGATTTTCTGAATTGAGTGGTTAACGTGACATCATCAGCATTTATAGAGCTTACCCATATATGTGAGCACTGCTATTTCCTTCATATTTGTCTTTATACTGACTTTTAAATTTTGACAGCTTCATTCTGAGAAAATATCTATAAAATCTACCATTTATGTGATAGTTAAATTTTCTTTCAAATACCCACTCAAATGAATGCAGCCATTAACCTTTTTACAGTGCATGTCTGTCTACTCATAGGCCCTCCATGTGTTCTAAAGTTTAGATGATAGATGTAACCAGGGAGACCAGTACAGTGCTTTGTAGATACCAAGTGCTCAGCAAATAGTAGGTCCTTTCTTCTTGGAAATTTCTTTGGAAATATGGGGCATGCAAGCTTGAAACTATTAATTCTTAGATCATGTGACAGTGAAATACCATAATGCTCTCTCTGGACGGTAAATCCCATGACAGCTCAGAAGCAGGAAAGGCTGAAGTACTCTAGAATGCTGGAGGAAGGGAAAGGTGGCATGGGGAGAGCCATTCTGCCTACTCACTCCAGCTCTGTGGGCTCTTGCTATTCTGTGTGGTCCAGAGACCACCAGCAGCAGCAGCAGCAGCAGCAGCAGCAGCAGCAACAGCAACATCACCTGGGAATTTGTTACAAATATGAAATCTCTAGCTTCTCTACTGAGTCCAAACCTGCCATTTAATAAGGTGCCCAGGTGCTTTGTGTATATGAGAAGCCCTGCTTTGGGTACTACTGTTGTTCTATTTAGAGTTAAAAAATAAAATGTATTTAGTTGGGGCTAATCCTGATTCTGTGTGCATTCCCTAAACCAGAATTATCCTGGACTTAATCTTAATGCCTCATGTCAGCCCAGAGCCAGGAATCTCCATTTTCAGACAGTGTGCTATGTGATTTTCAGAAAAATTGTTTGGCAGTTGCCACACTAAGGCTAAAATCACTGATAGAAACCCTGCATTTATTCCTCAAAGGTGTTTGCATTCCAACAAGGAAGAAAGCTTTCCAGGAAAAGAAATGCAGCCCTAATTGTGGTGTTAGTCAGCATTAATGGGAGGATCCAAATGCCCCCAAATGTACTTGGAATCCCATCAAAAGCCACATAATAATCAAGTTTCCAAGGAAGGCAATATCTTAGCAATGTCATAGTATTTCTTTTTTCTTTTTTTTTTTTCCCTTTTTGCATTTTACATTTGTTTTTTTCTCAACATTTTGTTTTTTAGCCGTGCTATCAAGACTAACCAGGACCTTCTCCCAGAAACTCCATGGACCCACATTTTCTACAATGATTTTTGGGGGACTCTTCTGACCCACAGTGGCAGCCACAAGTCCTACCGGCCACTCTGCACTCTCTCTTTTCGCCTGAATCATGCCATTGGAGGGTTGAATCCCTGGAGCTACCACTTTGTCAATGTCCTGTTGCATGCGGCTGTCACTGGTCTCTTCACAAGCTTCTCCAAGATCCTCCTTGGTGATGGATACTGGACCTTCATGGCTGGCTTGATGTTCGCCTCCCACCCCATTCACACAGAGGCAGTGGCAGGAATCGTGGGACGGGCTGATGTTGGGGCCAGTCTCTTCTTTCTCCTCTCCTTGCTCTGCTACATTAAACACTGTTCTACAAGAGGCTACTCAGCCAGGACTTGGGGCTGGTTCCTTGGGACAGGACTGTGCGCAGGATGCAGCATGTTGTGGAAGGAACAAGGAGTGACTGTTCTGGCGGTTTCAGCAGTTTATGATGTCTTTGTCTTTCACAGGCTGAAAATGAAACAGATCCTACCTGCCATTTACAAAGTAAGTGATTGTTGGCTCTTGGGCATTGGATTACTGAGTAATCTGCTTGCTTGGTTCTTTGCCACCATTTAAAAAGCAAATTTGTTCCTCTTCAAGCAGAATTTAAAATAAGTTCCTTTCTGATCTTCAGTAAGTGGAAGTGTCCTTTTTGACCTTTCCCTACTAAGCAGGGTTTCCCTCACTGCTTGTTTTATTTCTCGGGTTTCTTATTTTCATGATTTCCAAGGTGGTAGAAGAATAATTTTGCCTTGTAACGAATATGTATCTTTATTGGTTTTAATTCACTGTCTATTTCTGCCCAAATCTCTGTAATCCAATAAATCACCTATAATGTCTATTTGTAAAAATAACTTAGCTGATAATTGAGCTTGATGCTGTGGGGTAGAGAGGGGAAATCCTCAGTCATTCCTTAGTATTACTTTTCCTGGTTTGGAAAACAACCCTTCTCTCTAGTGCACTGAGAAGTCAAATTCTTAAACAGCGATTCATATTCACCTTTCTCAAAGTGTATAAAAATAGAAGAGTCAAAACAGAAAGTGGTTATTTATAAGTTTCGCCCTGAGGCCAAATTAAGCCCTTCAGATTCTGGGTTTTACATTAGTTCTTCTGTATTTCCTTAGGGGTTTCAAAATGGTGTTGTTTCAAGGTCACAGAAGGGGTTTAGGATCCCTAGGTACTGAGAGATTGAGCTGTTTTTGCTACAGAGTTAGAGGGAAGACTCTGGCAGGACAGGGTGTCTCCAGAAACTGCCTGCCTTCCTACCTCCCTAACTTTCCTGCACTCAGAAAACATACTTTGGTTGACTTTAAGAGTAAACACTGAATAGGGTCAGGAGTTGGAAACTTCAGCCATGTTTTAGGCAAGCTAGCTCCCACCTTCCTTTTGGACACAAGTGAGGAATGTTTTTTGTTTTTGTTTTTTTTTTGAAGAAGAAGAATAGCTCTGTGTTATCCAGGCTGGTCTTGAACTGGCCACTCAAGTATTCGTACTGCTTCCATCTCCTCTATAGCTGGGACCGCCACTGTGCCCAACCAGCAAGGATTTATGTTTTGTATTCTTGCTTTAAAAAGCTGTTGAGTGTTTCTAGTTTTGATTACTTTTTTCCTCCAGTTCCCAACTTTTCCTTAAAATTGAATTGGGAAGAAAATTTTTTTTTTTAAAGCAAGAGAAACAAAAACCAAAACATCTATTTTTAATTGTTGTCTTTTTCACTTGGTAGGCAGTGTAATTCCGGCTGTGCTTTTGCTCTGTGGGAAGCATAACCTTTTCACTTAGAACTCAAGTCTCAAGGGCTTAATGACATTCTTTTGTAATTTCAATTAAACACCAAATCTTTAAAGAAAACTCTGGGTAGAGTTTGATGCTGGAAAACAACATATGGTTTAAAAACCAAGCTCTTAATTTCATGTTAGTTGTAATTCTTTCAAGGATATTTAAAGAGAGTAATCATTTTTTTTTCCTTTAAAATGATGTCATCAACAATAACAATCTCTTTAGAGATTCAAATAGAAAAAGTGTAGTGCATGATCCTTGTCCTCATTCTCTTTGAGGATGCATGCTCAGAAGCTTTTAGGACCTCTTGTTGCTAGCCCATGAAACATTGTGGTTTCTTAGGCCCAATTTCCATTTTACCATCTCATTATTTTTGATATGTTAATTCAGGACTTGCTTTTAGGACCTTTTGAAGTTCTCTGAGATGTTTTCAATTCTTGAAGCATGTTTTCAAGGGCCAAGTTGTTTACTGTGGCACTCCTTACTGTAAGAAAGTTCTAGGCAATAATTGGGACATACTTAGAAAATTATCTGCCTAAAATTAAAATTCATTTAGGCATTCTTTATTTTATCTAGCAATCTTAACTCATATCACTACTACCTGATATAAATGAGAAATACCAGTAGCAGAGAAATCATAAGTGAGTGTGAAGTCCCTTGTTTTATGAGAAGGGACTTAATAATGTTGAAGGTTCAGGGTCCTGAGATGTTTCCAAATGGATACTTTCCCAGACTCCTGGCAGCTGCTGCCTGCAGGCCAGACAACAGCTGTGGTATAAATGGGGGCAGCACGACCCTTCATCTGATAGTTAATGTCCCATCTTAGCTCTTTGTCATTCTTAGCTTTGGGGCCAATGAGCTTAGTAAGAGCATTGGGATAATAGATTTTGTGAATTTAGAAGGAATCATAGAGATCCTTTTTCCATTTACCTTATTTCCAGCTGAGGTGAAGGTCACCCAAGAAAGGTTAGGATACTAGGATCTTTTTACTATATGTACTCTGAGGTGTGGAGATGAATAAATACATGTATGCCCCACTGACTATGTGGTAGAAAGGAAATTAATGTGGAATAGTATCATAAGGGCTGAGTAACCTTGGGCTGGTTGCATTATCTGCTTCTTCATCTGGAAATGGAGACAGTTATTGTTGTCCTGAAGTTGTTCTGATGATAGAATTGTGAGGTATTCAGTGTGAGGTGAGCTGGAGTACTGGGTATACATATTATTGGAGAGAAAGAGGCAGCATTGATGGATATATTGTAAGACTTTACCATAAGAGGACAAAAGATAAACTTCTAGTCGTCTTTAAATGTACATTTGTTTGAAGTTGGTGTTGTAGTGCATGCCTGCAAACCCAGCAACTCAGGAGGCGGAGGCAGGAGGACTACAAGTTTGAAGCCAACCTGCACAATTTAGCAAGACACTATATCAAAAAAGTAAAAAGGGCTGAGGATAAAGCTGAGTGATCAATTCCCAGATCCTCTCCAAATAAACAAAAACCACAGAATGATTTGACAGAGTATGAAATAAGAACTGCTTAGGAATCCAAGTGAAGCTTACAGATGCTTTCACATACAATCTCATGATTGTGAGGCTTGTGAAGACTGGATAGATTGCATAAGGAAGTTACAGAAATTCCCATATTCTATATGTAAAATATATGGATTTTTATGCCTATGGTGAATGATAAGAGATTCTTTCTGATAGAAGGGGATTAAAAGAATTTAGAGAGTCCTTTTCAACCTGAAAAGAAAAATCATTGTAAATATCTCACCAATCAGTGGTGCATTGCCAAGTGACATAAACTTCCTTGCCCTACGAAAATGGACAGAAGACTCCAGCATACAGATGTTTATGTCAGGCAAATTTAGAGAGCTGGTTAAAAACAGTGGTCCCCTTAAAACAGGGATTTGTTAGGATCAGCAGTGAGGGGGTCTCCATTTTTACTGTTTAATCCTTAATGTTTCTATCAAAGTAAGAATATCTAGCCTCTCTCTTCATAATGTTGGTGGGTCTGGTTCTGTAACTTTTATAATTATATTGTGGTCTGCAAATTCAAGTGTCTACCAGGGCAATGCAGAAACCTTGGCACTACTGTCCTTCTCACACCCCTATTAAGGCAATAAAGAAATGCAGGTTTCTGTGGGACAGAGCTTAAGTTTTTTCTAAAAAGACAGAAATCTAAATTTCTGTGACATTGTTGTAGGGACAGACAAGGCAAGGCACTGAAGATAGCAGGAAACAGTTTTATTTGGTTACAGCCCTGTTCAGAGGGCAAAGCTTTTGCTGTAATCAATTAATCTCCTGAACTCTGAGTTCAGGTAGTTTCAGAATTTTATATCCAGCATGTAAGGGGCAGGGCTCAGAAGTTCACAGTCTGCAGAAGGTCACATAAAAGTAGTTTTTTCTTTCACTGTTCTGGGCAAGTTAACCCTTTAAGGACAACACCTGAGAAGGGGAGAGCTTCTTCTCCTCTTTCTTTCACACCCCTGTCAGCTGTTACCATGGAGCCCAATTGGTAACTTCTCTTATCTTAGAAATGTAGACATCTCTGTGAAGCCCCAGCTCAAGACCAGAGACCTTGTTTACACATTTCTACAAACTACTATACTGGATACATGTTTGTGAAAAACTAGTAATGGGGTATCCAGCACCTGGAGTGTGGATTTCTTCCAGGCTAGTGGCCAAGTAAAATAGGGCAACAAGAAAAAAGGAAGTTTATCTACATTGAACTCTTTGGTAGAGACTCTTTTGTTGACAGTCCTAAAATCAGCCATGGTGAAGATTTCTGGAGAAACCCAGTTAAGATTTTCTGTTGAGAAAGGGGGTGCCACTACAACATGCTCTATCTTTATATTTTTATTTTTTAGTCTATCTTTAAATACTGGTTACTAATTAAAAACAAACCCTTTGGAGGCCAGGCAAGATCTTTGGTATGGTCGGATTTTGACTCTGACACTTGTTTCAAAAGATGCATGTATTACATACAAGGCTTTTGCTCTTCTGCAAAGGAGATGTTGAAAGTTATATACTTCTTTGGTGAAGTATGAGAGAAATACTAAGTACCTAACATCCAGTAGATGTGGATATTTTATTCAGTATTTAATGAACACTTAGAGAGTTTACACCGCCAGCCACTGTTCTCAGTATACTAAAAATGTTAACACATTTAACTTAACAAATGCTTATTGAGAGAAGTAATATGACGTATGAAATAATATGGTTGAATACTGACAGACTATAATTTTGTCAGTAGTTAGATTTGTCAGAAAACATTAAATATAAAACGTTCAGAAAAGTATATGAACAAAAATCAGAGTTTGAAAATATTCTTAGCCGTTAGCCTCAGGTGTCTGTTTCTCGTATTTCTTTTGTTATCTTTGGCCTCTTGTGCAACAGCTGGCACATAGTAGGTACTTAGTAAATTATTTAATTCACACTTAAGCTTTTTAAAGTATGTGGCTATAATGGTAAAGTGAAGTCCTGTACTCTTCCTTTATATAATGAGAATTTCCTTCCTAGGCTAATGAGGTCTGGAAGGTGAGATTGGAAGACATGTGTCAGAAAAATAATTTTTTTTTGACCTCTCACCAAATGATTGTTTTAGCATTCCTTACATTACTTTCACTTACTTAGTCTCATGTGGTCAAAAAACAAGAGGTGGGGGAGGATCCTTGAAATATACTTAAAATAACCTTGTTAAAAAATACTGGACTTTTTAGTCTGCC